ATTTTATTTTATACTGTTTACTCAGTTTAGTGTTTAATCATCTGTAAAACCGCAAAATTCTTAGCCCCGATTAATCACACCGATATTGGATATTTTCGATAATTATTTTTAGATATCGATATCAAAATTATTAAGAAAAAACCTACGATATCAATATCGTATCGAATTTTCGATATCGTTGGCCAACACTAATATTAAGTACCAACAAATAACAATATAATGTTTTAACACAAAAACTTAGACGCTCCATCCTAATCAGATAATAAATTCGTAGATTAAGATTATACGTTTGGCGTTTTTAACGATATATAGTTCTAAATGTAATATCTGGAATGAAGCTCACAGATATCTGCGATATTTGCGCTTTTTAACGATACGATTTATTTTTTTAATATCTTGTTTTGGCGCTTATATGTCTTCCACCGAAATGAGAATAAATTAATTTAAGATTAAGCCATTTTCAGAAAAAGGACGACATAGGGGTATATCCCCCCTCGAATTTTGTCCTCCACACTTACTCCTTTCATAGATCCACCGGCAGTGCTGCGCACAGCGGATCGACGCCCTTTAATTCATATTAATATATTCTCCATGGGAAGGGTGCCTACTAAATGTAGCTTTATATATTTTGTATTTTCCCACGAGTCTCATAACTTCCCAAGTATACTTAATAAGTGCCGCCTTCTACTCTCTATAGTCACTAGTTTCGTCTGCAGTGTGGACTCGCAAAAATAAGTGGTCGGGGTATACCTCAATATCTCAACACAATAAATCCGCGTAGTTTCACCGAATTTTCGGGGAGGGAGGGGGGTGATTATTTGTTATGCCTAGAAACTTAATTAGGATTCCCAATGATGATTAAATAATGGTACAGGACTGTAATAGGACATCAATATACGAAACAGTATACCTACTTGAAATAAAACATTTTCTAGTATTTTTCATAAAGACTATAATTAGCTAGCTTAAGCTGGTGATATTAAAATTGTTCAAACACCTTTGGATTTTTGTCGGGTTTAAATTATATATTATATGAATTTGTTAATCACCACAAGGAACCCCGACACTCTGCAAGAAGGAACCCAGGGATCTCTATCATCATATAATTATATTTAATATATGAATTTCTGAACCGTTAAAATCAAACTTTTTCGTACAGACTGTATACGCTACTGTTATTACGCATTTAGCGGTATACATTTTTTACTTTTAAAATTTTTAAGAATATAGTTATTTCCTTGACTTCGAAATTCCCTTATTGTCTGTCTCTCTTCAAAACGAAAGTCCAAAACGGGTGAGAGTAGGTATCTTGTAATATTACAATTTAAGTATAACTAAATTCGTTTTTATAACATCTCTACCAATATCAATTTACAAATATTAAAAAATTATTAGTTCATTCTTTGCGGAGGATATTACAGGAGGTTTATCCATACATAGGTATTATTATTTTAATGTGTGAAAATTGTGCTCGTCAAAGTATTTTCGACTTCGGCCGCCGTCGCGTCGCCGGTGTGGCGCAACGAAACTGGCCTCAATTTTTTTTTTTGGACTTTAATAAATTTATCAACCCGTTATATTTTCGACAAATCTGGCACCAGTCCTGATAAGTTGGCCCGCTGTATTGTCGCACGCGTCCGTCCTATGCTTAGGCGTAGGAATATAATATATTATCGTACCTACATCATATACATAATATTTTTATGTATATTTTATCGTTTAATACTGTGCCGCAGTATATTCAGAGCCCGTGTCGATGATTCAACGACAGTAATATAGTTGTATATAATAATATTATACATATATTATTATTATGTCACGCGTATACGTGGTGCGGATTATCATCTAAATTGACACAAACCTTTTGAAGTGGATTAAAAAAAATAATATTATTAACAAAATTACCGACAGACGGTGATAGGACGTTTTATTGTGTACACGGCGCCGTCAATATAACGATTATATTATTTATTATGTGTACATATTGTCATCGTCTCACGGTCATTTAAAAACGCGTCGACCGGACGTCGGAAAGGATATCTCACAGTGCGCGAATCGAACGTCATCATTATCGTGAGCTCGTATAAAATCATAATTATTATAACAATAATAATCGACGGCGGAGATGGAAAAACGCGACAATTGATAGCTTTCAAAATCATAACCACTTAATCCTTCATCGAGGAAGAATTTTTCATGAGTTATTAGATGCAATCGAAAACATTGATAAGACCTGTGACTCTATCACTATTGAACTCATATTACATAACGGTTTACCTGAAAACGCAATAGATGCAGGTGGTGTATTAAAAGATGCTCTGAGTGAATTTTGGAATAGTTTTTATGAGACTTCAACTGAAGGAACTACTTTGAAAGTACCTTGTTTGCGACATGATTTTAAAAGTATACAGTGGAAAACAATTGCAAAAATATTTTACATAGGATGGAAAAAAGTAAAATATTTTCCAGTAAAACTTGTACCATCGTTTTTTGAACAGCTATTATTTGGACATACTGAATCTGACTTAATCGAAGTATTCTTACAAATAAAATGTGAAGCTGATAAGCATATTTTATCAAACGCTTTAAAGGATTTTGAAAATGTTGATGCAGATGAAATAATAGATATTTTAAGTGATTTAGGGTGTAGAAATATTGCAAACAAAAATAACTTTATAAAAATATTAGAAGAAATTACACACAAAGAACTTATTCAAAAGCCAATGTTCATAATTGATTGTTTTACAGAAGAATTAAAAGAAGCAGTATGGGAACAACATATTTCTATCGACATTTTAAATAGTATATATAATAATTTGAAAGCGACTTCTAAAAATGTATTAAGATTAATAAAATTTGAAGATTCCGATTTGGAAATTACTCAAAGGACAACATTAAATTTTTTTAAAAAGTATCTTAAAGAAACTAAAGAAGATAATGTTATTAATTTTCTTAGATTTTGCACAGGTGCTGATATGACTACTGGCACTAAAATTAAATTACAGTTTAATAAGACTACTGGATTATTGAAAACTCATATTGCACATACCTGTTCTAGTACTCTAGAACTCCCAACTGAGTATGAAAGTTTCATCCAATTTAGAAGTGAAATGAATAATTTGCTCCAGTCAAATATTTGGGTAATGGACAGTATTTAAAACAAATTATAACTATCTACATTGTTATATATACAAATATTAAGAATGTATGTACTATGTACTATGTAGTATCTTATTTATTTTATATTATTATTTAAGTATATTTGTTGTACTACCAATACTAATTGGTAACTTAAAAGTTGTTCATTTGTTTTTTTTAAGCATTTAATTTACGTTACATATATTGTTCAATATTTTATAATAATTTTATAAGAATTTTTTTATTGATTTTGTCTATTTTCTACATTCATTAATATTGTATTTCTGAGTTGAATATAAATATTAACTAATTCATAAGGATCATTTGTAACATTGAGATTTTCTTCAATAATTATAATTTGACAAATCTCATTCAATGTTTCATCAAATGTTGTGTGTGTATTAAAAATACATTCTTCCTCACATACTTTCTAAATCTTTTTCATCAATTTAACGACCCCATTAAACGAGTAATTATTTTTGACGAAGCATAACTTAGCCGGTATTCGACTTAGAGACCCCGGACCAATGGGCATCTCAATTTTTTAGGCCCCAGATGAATTTTCAACATTAGGGAACCAAAGCCCCCACCCCCCCACATTTTGAGTTGAGTGTAACTCGGCCGGAATTCAAGTTAAAGACCTCGGACAAAGGGGGAACCCATTCTTATTATGAAGACTATAGTTTTCCGCTTTAGGGAACGGGGGCACCTCCTCCCCCCCTTTTGGATTTTGCTTTTTTGATGGATTTTGGTCCGGGAGAATACTAACACCCACCTCGCCAAGGGGAAACTCGGGGTTTTGAGTTTTTGATGGGATTTATTGGGATTTTCATAAATATTGTTTTTATTGATAAGGAAAGTGATAAGAATTTTATTTTCAAAATAATTTTTGCCCCTTAAATTTATAAATTTATAAATTCTATTGTGATTTCCATTTACCTTCTTCTCTATATACATACAAATCTATGTATATAGAATTTATGTGGGTACCTTCTCACACCGGCATTACCGGGAACGAGATGGCCGATAAGTCAGCAGACAAAGCAGTTAAAACCATCTTACATCCAACAATCACTGACATACCGGCTAATGGCATTAATATTTCCATTCGAAACAAAATAAATATGACATGGCAAACTTAATGGGATTCTGTTCCGCCTTCCAACAAATTAAAAAAATAAAAAAATGCACCCAAAGTGGCACCATCTCCATAATTTAAACAGACGACAAGAAGTCACTCTAGCCAGAGTAATGCGGCGTTCCCACGAGGCGTTAATCACGACAGTCAACCACGCTTTCGGCCCCACGACTGGGTCGTGACTCGTGGGATTCAGTCGTGAGATACGAACGAAGGTGTCGTGGCGTGGATCACTCCCTAAATTCACGCCTCGTGGGAACGCCGCATAAGAATTGGACATACTTCCCTGACCCATTCTTTTTTAATTAGAAAAGATCCACCACCCATATGTAATCAATGCCAAGAAGACCTAACCATTCAACACATCATCCTAGACGGCGAAAAATCGCCGGAGTGAGCCCGGGTAAACGGCCAAGACTTTTGCAGGGGGCACCGCTTATATTCTCCCCATCGGGAACATAAGCCCCCTCCCCCCCAAAAGGGTTTTTTGCTGATATCTCGGCCGGATTTGGTCCGAGGGCTTCGGGAAAAAAAATTTGCCCTCCCAAACCCCCTGTCCTACCACGACCGCACCGGATACGATCCCGAAGACCGGAACCCCCTACCACCACCAGTAGCGAAGTTAGGGGAAAAGATAGGGACAGTGAGGTAGCGATCCAGCTTTGTGGAGCAAGGGGCTGATACCTTCGGATTCGGCCCACTGCGACACACCCCCACAAGGACCATGAGCAACACGGAGTCACCGTACGCGGCTTTCAGCAAACTAGGGCAGTGCCTGGGCACCCAAGGTGGCGGCATAAAGCTCCTGCTCAGCAAGGCCTTGGCGCTGGAATCGGTAAAAGGCAAGATACGCTCTGATGAAGTTAAGTCGGCGGTAAATGAGTTGTTGAACGTTGTGCGTGCCCTGGAAGTTAATAACAAGAACGTTGTCACATCGTACAACGAAACCAAAAGAGTATTTAAAAAGGAGGAAGAGAACAGGGTTAATGTCCAGGCTATGAAAAGTACCGTAGATATGGAGACTCAGTCCCCGTGCTGGTGGGACGCTGAACATCCGGCAGAACGGTTTCAAAAACGGCCGTCGCCCGCGGACGACCCGGTGATGGCACCTGATCCTGCTGGCCCAACATGGACGGAGATAGTTAAGAGGAGGACGTCGAAGAAGAGAAACTCCCCACCGCAAGGAGAGCAAGGCAATGGAGCGCTAGGGGTCGGGGACACGGCGACCGCCAAACCGCGAGTTCGCGCACGCCCCTCGGCAATCATTGTAGATGTTAAATCGGAAGACTTTCCGGCGTTAGCTAGGAAGATTCGTGGTGGCGTCGATCAAGGAGTTATTGGTGACAGTATTATTGGTATGAGGCAGGCAAAAGCAGGAGGCCTACTCATTGAAGTCAGAGGCGACCAAGCGCGGTTCGATGCAGTACGAGCTGAGATCTCCCGCTCCGCGGGCTCAGAAGTAGAGGTGCGTGCGCTCCAGCAGAGAGCTATGGTTGAGGTCAGGGACCTCGATCAGTGGTCAACGGTGGAAGAGGTTGCCGCGGCTACTGCTGCCGCCACTGGCATTCTATCTGAACAACTCAAAGTTTTCAGTCTTCGGAAAAGATTTGGGGGCTCCCAGTCAGCGCTGGTATTGCTGCCGATTGGCTTCGCACGCGTATTACTTAATTCCGGGCGGCTCCGTGTCGGTATGGTTAGCTGCCGAGTTAGGCTTGCGGAACAAAAGCTCAGGTATTAGGTACCTAGCACGTTACCACAGTGACCCTCTTTCCACCACAATTATAGAAACTGACGTTAGAACAAACGAAGTCAAGCTTAAGACGACGCACGTGCCGTTTGTTAAGTTAAATTTCGGTGGTTTAAGGTGAAAAAGCTACAAACGAATTAGTGTGCTTCACAATAATACATAATAAACGTAAACACGATATGATAAAATTAATAAAAATTACAAATGTGGGACTCTGGTCCGACAGAATTTTATCTTATACGTCTCGAATCATATATACTTATACCTATTCTTAAACATGGCAAAAAAATTGGCAACATTGTTTATAGGCAATATTTTCTAGGAAAGTTTTGAATTTCGACCGAACCACCACCCACGTTGTATAAAGGCCTTCACAGTTTGCGCAGACGATTGGCACAACCCTCAAATGCGTACAAAGTGGATTTAGAAGTGTTTTTTTAGTTTTTACTAAGAAGTATGATGGGGCCGTGTTTATAATTTATAAATTTTGAAAATGAGCACAAACTTTTGACATAATATTCTTCAAAAAAATGGGAATCTTCAAAGTCGCGGTGGACCACTGCGTTGCTTATCTTCAATATAATTGATTTATCGAGTATAGGCACACCTATATAATATAATATCTTAATGATTATCGTCTTCGTTTATTCCGTGGTCGTGTGCGCCGTATATGTATTATGATTGTATAATATTATAATAATATATTCGTATATTTATAATAATATTATATAGACGGTCTATGAAAACTGTTTCACATTTCAAAAGTGGAGTAACGCGAGCTAATTGATTGCGTTGTTATTATTCCGGAGACATTTTGCGTGAAATGTAATGTATCGCATTGCGGCCAGATCTTGATTTATCGCGTCCTCATAACATCTCGGGAATAATATGAACGAAGAAATCGTTTCTCTCGGATATTTTTTTGTCCCAAAATTCTGGCGCCACTCCAAAGCCGGTAAATGCTAAACAAGGTGCTGAAATAATGGAGAAAAATCGGAACACGCGTTAAAAATAAAACAATATATTAATCGTCTACAGCGAATAATATCATAATAATATTATGATGGTGTTTTTTGTGTCGGTAGTACGGATTGTTATAATAATTATTGTACGTATATCAATCGAACATTAATAATATGACCCTTTGCCACAGCTGTGCTTCGAGCTAAGTACTGTTCAAGGAGGATGCATGCGATCCTAATATAACAATAACAATCAGGGCTTGGAATTTTAAGCACTAAAAAACAATCAAATATGTTGCAAACATATACAAAAAAAATCTTAAATACGCAGTCTTATAAATGCAATTTTTTTCAAAATTAATATGCAGTTTTATTATGTGGACTAACTTCGAAAAATGTACTATAATTATTCAAAAATTGTAATAATGTGAGTATGCATAAATATATTATGTAGATTTTTTTTTTACCATTTTCGAACAAAATATTTTAATTTAGTTACACTTTAAATTAGATAGATTATACATAATATTACATACTCAATAAAAAATATTATTAAATCTATGTTAGTATATGATCAACATAATATAGTGATCACATGTGGTGTGGGTAACGGCTCTTTGCTTTCAATTGTAGATATTATATTTCCATAGTAATTTATGTTTTTATATTTGTTGGTTTATGATAAAAAACGCTTGTTCATATCTATAGATTCTTTGAATATGCGAAATCGATTACTTTAGTAAATATGTGAACATTTCTGGAACATAGATTTTTGGGTTTGGGTGGTAGGTACCTACGTCGGTTACTACGAAACAAACTTGTATGGAATCCGATTTGAGTAATATGCAGCTTCCTATATATACGCAAAACATATTAATATAGATTCCGCGCCACGATACTAATCTCTTATATTATAAAACACAAATAGTCTCCGTTTTTTGCCACCAGGGGCGACGCGACAAATAAGGAATTCCGCGTTTCTTCCATGACGACCAATCATATTACTTCTCGCGCGACGCAGCAAATAAGCAACTCCGCGTTTCTTCCATGACGACCAATCATAATACTTCTCGCGCGTTCGCTAAATTTTCACGTCCCGCTCGCTTTCTCCTTTTCGTTATGTCTATTGACGACATTGACGTGAATATTTTCGAATATTATTTTCCCGAGTTATTCCGTATTTCTATATATTATATAATATAATAAAAATAAAAAAGTGCGTGTGCGATTTTTACAAAAATTGTGATATTTCCGTGTGTAAAATATATAAAATATGTAAAACGCAATATTCAGAAACTGTTCAAGTGTTATGTAAATGTCATTATTATGAATTTTATTATCGTACCGTTGTGGAAGCCGCCATTCAGCCATTCAGAATTTCAATAATATTAAAAATATAAGTAGTTTGAATGCACGGATTAGATAGACATTTTTCACGAGTATTGCAGTACATTTAACTTTTATAGCTAAGAGTTTAGTAGGAGCTTTGGTGTGTCGATTGTTTATGACAATGTCGTTACATACGTAATAAGGTAAGTAATCTAAGTAATTCAATACATTTAAATACGAGGGGTAATTACAGAAAGTTTGTACACCAGATTACTGATTTAAATGATTATACCTATGATTTCCCATGACTTACTACAAAGATTACCTATGATTACACATGATTACCCCCAAGGTGTTTACCCCTCGATTATAATATACTAATATTGTATTACCAAGTTTAATTACTTCAATTCATACCTTATAACTGTACTAACCTTTACATTGGGTTACACGTATTAATTTTTTGCAATATTTCAAACAAATTTCAAAACAAGAAAACTACATTTACATAGGTATTATATGTTAAATTGAATTTAAATTCCTTCAAAGGTGTAAAACTATGCTTAAAATATTGTACTATTTGTCAACATTTTTATTATGTCGTTGGCATGCAAAAATGTATTATACATGATTTATATATATTATATTAATAAATACATAGGTATCATTTATATTCTACTTTTTAAAACTTTATTATAGGACAACTGTATGCAGCGTTTTCCCGAGTGAGGGACTCTCAATCCATAAAAACCATTAGAGTTGCTATGTACAGTGATGGCCGTGGTAGATTCGTCACTAAGAACATTGTGTACAGAGAAATTCTACAAGCGATATAACTGTACAATGAAGTCTACAAGAACTTAATGAACATCGAATCCGATCTGTGTGACACATGGTTTATAAGCAGTCGTAAGTACGACTCGCGGAGGAGAGAAAGTTCGACGACCTCCACGTGGTTCTCTCTGGATGCGGATTTTGTAATGAATACGTAACTGATGTCGAACATGCATTTAACCTGACTGCGACTCGCACACTAGATGGTAAATTATTTAGAATTATTTATGTACTCTAAAAATATATCAGCAGATATTTGTATGCATTTGTATTATTTCAGAAACATTATACTAAAAATGACTATCAATGCAGATGTACAGCAACAGATCATTGTTGTACTGCTACTAAGGCATAGGGGAAATTCGACAACCTCTACGTGCTACTCTCTTGATGCGGATTTTGTAATGTATTTGTATCAAATGTCAAACATGCATTTCCTGACTGCGACTCGCCCACTAGATGGTAAATTATTTAGAATTATTTATGTACTCTAAAAATATATCAGCAGATAATTGTATGCATTTGTATTATTTCAGAAACATTATACTAAAAATGACTATCAATGCAGATGTAACAGAAACAGAATCATTGTTGTACTGCTACTAAGGCATAGGGGAAATTCGACAACCTCTACGTGCTACTCTCTTGATGCGGATTTTGTAATGTATTTGTATCAAATGTCAAACATGCATTTAGACTGACTGCGACTCGCACACTCTGTGGTAAATTATTTAGAATTATTTATGTACTCTAAAAATATATCAGCAGATATTTGTATGCATTTGTATTATTTCAGAAACATTATACTAGAAATGACTATCAATGCAGGTGTAATAGAAACAGAATCATTGTTGGACTGCTACTAAGACATAGGGGAAATTCGACAACCTCTACGTGCTTCTCTCTTGATGCGGGATTTGTAATGTATTTGTATCAAATGTCAAACATGCATTTAAACTGGCTACGACTCGCACACTCTGTGGTAAATTATTTAGAATTATTTATGTACTCTAAAATATATCAGCAGATATTTGTATGCAATTGTATTATTTCAGAAACATTATACTAGAAATGACTTCATCAATGCAGATGTAGCAGAAACACAACAAAAAGATTCATCATTGTATCAATACTGATTACTAATTTGCAACTAAACCATACTCTGATAATCATAAGAATTACTACAGCTAACACTTAATTATTATTCATTGTTAATGTGTAACTGATGTAGCACATACACACACATATAAATATATGTATATACACTTAAATTGATTAATAGTAAGTTTCATACACAAATTATTATAATTTCAAAAGCATATATTATCTACTATAACCAAGGTTTGTAAGAAATTTTCAATTTTGTTGTATGTACAATATGTTTCATTTCTACGTATTGCAGTCGACGCACGATTCAATTAAATTTTTTTAAACATCATTAAACTACACTATATTGTATGTTTGAATTTGTATTGCTTAACAATGTCTTTTATATGTAATAAACATAATGAGGTATGATTAGATATTTTGCCACCGCAGATAATTTTCATTGAAAAAATATTATGCAATTACTGATTAGTAATACCTAATTGATTATACATTATTTGTAATTTAAAAAAGGTGCTCTGCTGTACTGTAGGTTATAAGTGGGTCACTGTATAATGGATGGTATTAAATTTGAATTCAATGATATAATATCATTGTATAAGAAAAACGATTCTGAGTGGAGACGGTATGTCAGTCTAGGTTAAGACATATTATATACATATTACATATATATTGTATTAAAATAAAATTGACCTATAATAAATTCCAAATTAATCATATCACAATATCCATTAGGTACTTATAAGCGTTATACATCAA